ATGCGAAAAATTGCTTACACCAAAATCATCATAACCGATACTGAAAAGAGAAAAATCCAAATCAGAGCAAATAAACCCAGAAAATCGAAACAAAACAAATTGGAAATAGAAAAACCCACGCATAACGGCACATATCGAAAACATAATTAATTACCCTGCAAAATCAAAGACAAAAACAAATCAACGCCCATTCACCACCATTCGACAAAGTCACTCAATTCAATTCAAATCAATTCAATTAGTTACCCAATCAGCCAATCGACCACCAACCACCCACCCACCTACTTGCAATTGCCAACCTAAAAAGAAAAATGCAAAAGAAAAATTTAAATCTCTTACGCAAAATTTCCGCAAATAAATTAAATTCGTTTTTTAACTATTTAAATAGCACACCATTCGTACAATTTAAAAAAGAGGAAATTTGGAATATTGCGAAATTTTTGAAACGAAATTCGTAGAACCCATCAGTCTCATTGAAAATAAATATTCACCAAGAAAAATGCAAAATTTGCAATCGATCCATTTCACCCTGGCAAATTATCCGGAACAAAAATAATTCAATTCAAAACGAGCGCATTAGATATCAGTTAATCCATCGTAGCTTAGTTATACATACCTACATAATCATTATTTAGAAATCACAAATTTAAAACAAAACTTTTCATGTTTTCGACGAATTGTACTAATCGACATTTTTGTGTGGGTGTGTAGGAGTACAGTGTGCAGTTGACATTCCGCGAACAGTGGACAGACGAGCGGCTGAAATTCGATGACATACAAGGTGAGTTGCGAGTTATTCTTTAGACTTTAATTGATTAAAGGAAAACTCTAAAATCAAATCAGATATGGTTTCTGTAGAGTAAAGTTTTGCTCTGGTGGTGACATTGAGCGGCCGTATGTATGAAGGCCTTTAGTAGAACTTAAAAGCTGTGTAACAAAACCATAAAGATAACGATAACAATATCCAGAACTAAAACGATAAATATTACATTAACCAAAAGGATAAAGATAACGATAACAAAAAGGATAAATAAACGATAAAAATAACGATGACGATGGCGATTTAAAGGACGATTACAATAACGGTAACGGTAAGAATAACGTAAACAAAAGCTATAAAGATAACGATGACAGTAACGAAAACGATGGCGAAAATGAAAACGATGAAGTTAACAATAACACTTTTGATAATCATGACGATAATGATAACGATAACATAACGGTAACGCTTATGATACCTATATCAGAATGATAATAATAACGAGAAAGATGATCATAACGACAACAATAATGGAAATAATAGCCATAACGATAGTTATTATGTTGGCGATAATGATAAAAGATATGGGAAATGGCATCACTAACAATTGCTTTAATGATAATGATAACAATAGCGGCAACCACAGCATAAAATTACCAGTAACGATATTTACAGAGTTGACTAAAAGGTTAACGACCCCATCGATGATAACGTACGACAGAAATATAAAAATAATCAAAATACTCGCAATACCATAGGCCAAATATAGCAAAACTACGTTTTAGTTTATCTATTTGACGTCAGGATTATTTTTGAAAAGACTTTGTTGTCTTGGAGATATATGTAAATATTTTCAAAAATTATTTATAAAACTCAGTGAAATGTAGAGAAACAATATGGATACCAAATGAAAGAGAAATATAATTAAAAAACTGTTTAGTTCACAAGGACGAAAATGCCCTTTTTATTAATTTATTTTCAAGCTTATAAAGTTGAAAGGTCGAAATTCGATGAGGTGGTCAAGTGTATATTAGTCCTTAATATATATATATTTTTTAAATAAGTATTCCAAAATTTCAAGGATACAATTTTAAAATGACAAATACCTACTCTACACAGAACTTGCTCTTTAATTTGATACCCATACCTACGGCTCTACTGCATTCCACACTTTTAAATAATTTTTTTTAGTAATCAAAACAAAACCGCAGTTTTATTGTATTTGGCCCACGGTATCGCGAATATATTGAATTTTTGTGTGTGTAAAATTGACGGTCAAACCGGTAAAACCCCGACGATTAAATAATATGCATATATGTACATACTAGAAAACTTAGCATAAAATCACCTTACAACCTCTATATTTCAAATTAATAACATACATTTTTCTCGTCTACAGGTCGCCTCAAGTACCTAACATTGACTGAAGCAAATCGTGTGTGGATGCCCGATTTGTTCTTTTCCAATGAGAAAGAGGGTCATTTCCACAACATAATCATGCCTAATGTCTACATACGCATCTTTCCGAATGGTTCTGTGCTGTATAGTATTCGTATATCATTAACGCTCGCATGTCCCATGAATCTGAAATTATATCCATTGGATCGACAAATATGCTCACTAAGGATGGCAAGTTGTAAGTGAAGAAAAAAATAAAAAAAATTAAAAAAATAGTAGAATTAAAAATTATATCGAAACCTAGCGGCAGAAATACATCTCCAAAACAGAAAATAAAAAAATCCATATGTTCCCTTATGGCGTGTATCGAGATTTTCGCTTTACAAATACAAATGAATAACCAAAACTTGTTCCATATAAATTAGCGTTTCATTTTGTATTCTTGTATAATTTCATAAATTCAGGCAAATATCTTTTTCTTGGGCGACTTTTTTTCCTTCAGTCAAGCACTTAAACTTTTAGGGCCAATTTCAGATGGCCAAATCAAATAAAACGAAAATTATTTTGCAAAATTTTATTTGACATCAAACACACTTAGGGCCGTTTTCTCGAGTAACCCGTAGCTTTAAAGCTCACTTTATATTTAAAGGTTGCATTATTTATGATTGTGTCTAAAGAAAAACATTTCAATATCGGGATTAAATTGGTTTACAACCAAGAAACATATATACATCAAAAACCGATAACAGAACTATTAAATATAAAGTGAGCTTTAAAGTTAAAAGTTACTTCAGAAAACGGCCCTTAGTTTATTATGTATGTATGTATACTTGAATGTCCAATGTTGGATATTTCCATACGGAAAATGCAATATTAGTTTTAAATACGAATTCGTGATTAGCTTCTATTTTTGATCTGAAATTGGCCTTTAGTGGCGAAGATTGTATTGGCAGGGGAGCATCGGATAACAAAATCGGATGCGCCTGGGACGCACTATGGAAGTAATTCAACCTTAAACATTTTCTCTTTCTTACATTAGACCGAATCACTTTACAGACAATCAAAAAATAAATTTTTTTTAAAGCAATTTGGAATTTTTTTTGCCCTAGGTTCACTTACATTCGGCAGTAATTTATAGTTCTATTGGAATAATCAAAATACTTCTTTCCCAGAAGTTAAATGAGTTTTGAAGAGCTTTACGTTAGGGTGGTAGGACCTGAGATCTGGTGGGAAGTATTAGGTTGAAGAACTTGAGTTCAATGACCTTTGGAACAAAAAATATTTTCTCCTCTAGTCAAAAAAAAAATCAAAATTGCCTTGCAAAAATACTTAGGACTCACTGGCAGAATACCGCTGAGGTAAGGGAAAACGGCAGCTCTCTGACATCAGAGCTGCTTACGATATATTCTAGATACCCCCAAAAAAAGTCAGCTAAATATTTGTTTCTCTCAACACATTATTGGTTATAATTACATTATTTGGTTATACTTAGTTAGCAACTCTTGTGTTGAGAAAAGCATTTTTTGCTGACTTTTTCTGGGTGTAGTGAGGCAATTGGCAACAGCGCTAACAATTTGCCGAACAGCTGTGTTGCCAGTTTTCTTGAAAAAAAAAAAATTAAATAAAATTAATTAAGAGCCATGTTCTCTCGAAATGCGAAAAGCCTCGTTAACTTCGATAACGTTGAAGCTTTTTCTGAACTAATGAAATTTTGCATGAAAAATTCTTTCTAGCTTCGAGGTTTTTAAGTTTAAACTTTTGACAGGGTTCCTTTATCATGTCTTATTCTTTGAATACAATTTTTAAATTGCGTATATACATACATACCTTTCGATTACTAAAAAAAAAATTCTTTCCCCCGCAGATGGTTGGACAACAAATGATTT